TGCTGGCGCCAGTTTCTGAGTGTGGGCGCCAGCCTTGAGGGTGATTATGCTGATGTGGCCATAGCCACATTGATTTCGACATTGACAGGAGTGTGGGCAAGGAGGAGGGGAATCTGAACTGTGAGATTGGTGCGAGTGATGAGGAGAAGCTTACCTGGACTTGACTGCTGCTGACGTGGCCGGAGGATGGGCGCCCTGCTGTGACCTGCTCGTTGTATATGTCAGAGAACGTCAGGGGAGAACTGTATTGCTGACGTGGCAGGTGAGAGAGATGCCCGAGGAGGAAATGGGGTTGAAGAGGGGATTCTGCTTCGTTGATTCTTGTGGAAACTCTCCTCCTCCTCCTCTCAGTCTCGTCTACCTCTCTCCTCATTCTCTTCTCTGAGTTCGAGACATTGGGAGACTACATATATGACAGGCATGGTTTCACAAACGATTTTTGGAGACATTGATGCTACGCTGTGTCAGACTTGTATTTCGACATTCCTGAGCTTGCCATCTGACTGGGTTCATTGCACCATCACCTTTTTTCAACCTTCTATAAAAGTCAAATGTGTGAGTAAAGTCTGACTCCATTTCTTTTTCTCAACCACGGATCATTGAGAAGTGCCCTCATAAGAGGCTTTACAAAGGAGGCCCTGAAACCACCAGTTAGTTCACGCGAGCCTACGTTGACGAAGCTATACCTTCCAATGCTTGCGAGCCTGTGATTGTGCCTTTTCAAAGTGGCCTGCCGCTTTTTATTACCGTCTCAGGCCCATTCCTTTCCCCTCCGCCCCCCAACAGACTTCCCCGATCCTTTCCCACCACATCCACTTTCCTTGATTGAGTCATTTCTCTGAGAATGTTTCAAGGATATGCAAGAGGGTGCCTGAGTGTGCCTGAACGTGATAGAGGTGCCCAAGCTGTATGTGTGTAGGATACATCATTTCTAGACGCCCTCTTAAACAATAGATGATGCCTTCTTCCTAATAGAAATTCTGGTCTAACAACACACTCTTAAAAGAAAGTCTGAGGCAGGTAAGGAGATGAAAGGAGGTCCCATTGGTGCCCCCCAGTGGCTCCTTCCAGATCCTACACATGGGACGCTGGACCCGTTTTCCAGCCAGTAAAAGACTCAACATATTTCAGGGGGAGGAAACTAGTAGTAGGAACGGTATATCTGATGCTGGCTTTCAGACGAAGAGGTTTCCCCCCTTGTCTAATACTCTGTCTAATATCCTGCGCAGTCAATCCCCTGGATCTCGGGGCAATCAATTCTGGCAGGAAATTCCCACAACTGTGTATCAGATACATTACAATTTCAGTTTGTATAAGGGACGCTGGACCCGCTTTCCAGCAGGTGACGCTCCCCACGAATAGATGGAGCCTCTCCCCTGGTGCTAGTGGTGTCTGCTCTTATCAGCACCACTAGCACTGGTGAGCGATTGTTTAAAAAAAAATAAAAAATAAAAAAAAGTCAAAATGCTTATACCACATATACCGGCAACAGTGCTCAGGTTTATGTGAGCTGGTGGTTAAAAAGAAAAAAACAAGAAGAATAAACTGCGTCTTCTCCACCGTCATTTACAGTCATTTTCACATTCTTTTGCCCGCCTTCACGCGCGTGCGAGTGGCAAGAGTGCACATTTGCCACTGTGGCCCCGTACTATCCGAAGTGCCCACTTCCCCTCAATCAAGCTCCCCTTGAGCTATGTCTACTCCTGTCCTGTGGACTGATCATCGAAGCTCCCTGCAACTTTTTCTTTTCATGCTGGGAAGGACACAACTCGACAACTGCTGACAAGCCATTCATGGCCGCACGTTCACAGCAGAACTGCAGCAAGGAGCAGACCTACTGTTGCATACTCGTGAAACACAGTCATAAGTATCATGGCGCAGATTGAATTTCCCAGAACCGACCAGATAATACAGAGTTAATACAAACACAGCGGAAGACTTGAGATACATGGACTGACTCTGACCTGACTCAGACTGCAATCGAACACTCTCAATCATACATCAGGGGTGTGAAAGCCCTGGCCTTGGACATAGACGAAAGGTCAGGGTCTGAGATCATCCACGGACGAATGGAGAGAGGAGAGAGAAGAAGGGAGGAGGAGAGGGAAGATGACGTCAACTCAATGTTTCTCAAAGATGGTATCTTGAAATGTCAGAGGTAGCGAAATCCGAAATGTCGCGAACACAGTGTCTCACAATGTCCCAGATATCGATCTCACAATGTCAAGTACATCTCTAGAGGAAGATGAAATCAGATCCCACGAGTAGTCCTCAACCTATAGTCCCAATGTCGCTGTCTCCAATATCATCAGAATTAGTAACCATCCTTCGTACTTGTAGTAGTCCCATGGGAGAACCCAGGAGTAGACTTAGACTGACAAGGTAGGAGGAGAGAGAGAGAGACAGAGGGAGAGAAGGGGGCGGAGGAAACAGAGGGAGAGAAGGCAAGGCCTTCCTCCCCGGTACCTGATCCGGTAGCTGTGGTGCGGCAGGGGCCGCTGCACTGTTTCCTTCTCGCCGCTGTACTCGCCTTCTCCTCGCTGCTCAGGCTAATGCTGCTCGCGCTGCGCTAATCCTGCTAACGCTGCAGTGCTGCACTAAATTATCCTGAAGACTAACGTCCTATCTCTTCTAACCTCCCGACTGAGGCTGGTACCCAGCTGATATAGTGCTGGGTCGGCCTCAGTCCTTGTTACATGCTGCGCGTGCACACGCAGGCCATTTTGCAGGCCTGTGTCCGTTCAGTCTAAAAGCCTGAACTGCAGGCCGAAAGCCTGAAATCCAGGGCTTACAGGCCCCCTGTCGATTCAGGCCGAAAGCCTGAATTCCAGGGCCTGTCCCTGTGTCGTTTCAGACTAAAAATGGCAACAGCATTTTTAGCCTGAAACAAAGGGCCATTTTCGGTCGTTCATCAGAACGACCGGCCCTGAAACTCAGGCACCGAACCAGGGCTTCGGGAACAGACTATTAATAGTCTGTTTCCCACGCCAGCCTCAAGCAGGCTGCTGCACGCCAGCCCCTGGCACACTTCGGCATTGGCAAGAGCTGCCTCCTCGGCCTGACTGGCCTCCAGTAGTCAGGAGGCAGGCCAAGGTAGTACATAGGACTTCCCAGGCACTTCCGAGG